GGACAGTGACCTGGAACTCGAGGTGCCCACCACCGAGAAGGCACCGTCGAAGGAGATGATGAAGGCCGTGTACCGTCTTCATCAGAATACGGGTCACACCTCGCGCCGGCGCCTGGCTCGTGCTCTCATCATTGCAGGAGCACCGCCAGAGGCCGTGAAGGCTGCGAAGATGCTTAAATGCACCGTGTGTGACGAGAACCAGAAGCCTCAGACACGAATGGCAACGGCCCTTCCCCGAGTGGAGCATCCCGGTGATCATGTTTGTGCCGACCTCTTTTCCATGAAGGACAGCGGCGGCAAGATCTATTGGATTGCTCACTTGGTCGATCTCGCAAGCCGGTACCAAGTGTGCCGTCTGTTGCCGGACAAGTCTGCGGACGAGGTGGTCAAGTGCTTGTCCGAATGGGTGAGAATCCTCGGAGCACCGAAGGCCCTGACCGTGGACATGGGTCCTGAGTTCGTGGCAGGGAAGTTTCAGTCGGCCTGTGACTTCTACGACGTGTGCCTGCACCACACGCCCGTCGAGGCGCCGTGGAAGAATGCCGTTGCTGAGAGATCTGGGCAAACAACCAAGGCTATTCTCAAGCATCTCATTAAGGAGCACTCGGCCTACGGCAGCGTCGAGATGGAGATGATGTTGGCCGCCGCCTCGGAAGCCTACAATGGCGATGTGGGGGACGCAGGGTTTAGCCCAGCCCAGTTTATGCTGGGGAAACAACCTCGCACCGTTGGCGACGGATTGGCCTTAGCTCCAAGGCTGAGCCAGTTGGGTGTCTTGGAGAAACGGCTAAAGTAGCGACGATCCGGATGCGGTTTTCGACTACCCTTCGGAAGGCTCTCGCCGCTCGTCCCCGAGTGCGCGATGAGATCCTCTACGAGCCTGGCGAGATCGTGTACTTCTGGAGGCAACAAGCCAAAGGGAAAAGGTTGCCGACTAAGAAGTGGCACGGCCCAGCAATGGTGATTGCCGTCGAGAAAGGCGAGACAGGGGTGCAGTCTGCGCTCTATGCCTCCTACCGGGGCGGTGTCACCAAAGTGGCAATTGAGCACGTCAGGCCTGCGAGCTCCTTGGAGCGCCTGGCTGCCGGGACTTGGGAGTCTGCCCTTCAGGGCGTCCTGGATGCCATAGAGCCGGGCGAAGGAGATCCACCCGGAGAAGGAGACCAACCGCAACCTGCTGTAGACCCCGCGCCTGGTCAGCCCAGTGCAGCAGTGGATGCCCTGCGAAGTTTGGGCAATGAGTCTGCCGCGCCCCCGTTAGTCGTCGTAGGAGCCCCGAGCGACCCCAGCTTCTCCAGACGTGTCTCTGCCGACTTCTCGAGGGCGTCGAGTTCTTGGGAGCGCCGAGGGCACGAGCTTTGGACAAGGGGACAGTCCGGAGGCGGGGCTTCAAGCCTTGAACCTACAGACAAGAGGCGAACTTCGGAGGCGGCAGGACTGCGACAGCCACAGCTTGGTGGCCCTGGGCAAGCTACTGTACCAGAAGCCGAAGGTGAAGTTGAGCAAGCCGCGCCCCAGGGAGCGCCGGAGACCACAGAGACTACGACAGCCCCAAGCGCCTTTACAGGTCCCTTTGTGCCCCTCACCCTTGGAGGGAGGAACATCGATGTGATGATCGCTGAAAAGTGCAAGCAGCATCCCCTCTGGGAGCTTCAGGAGAGGGTTGCAAAGGAGATTGCGAATGGCGATTTCGATGAGCCCATCAACGGCACTTGGGACGGACGTTGGCCCACCCCGAGCGAAGCCGTTCGGAGGGAGCTGTGCAGGACAGGCAACCTCAAGAACTTGCCCAACGAGCCCTACGACGTCCTCCTGACCTCCGGTGGTCGAGAGTTCCAGTGGAGTAAGATGGACAACGAGTCCAGGACTGCCTTCCAGAAGGCGGCCGAGGACCAGTGGGCGAAATGGGTTGACAACGAGGCCTTGGAGCCCATCCCGCCGAAGGAGGCCGACGTGGTGCGCAAAAGGCTGGCTAGCCAAGGGAAGTTGGGCGAGATGCTGGTGCTGAGGTTTGTGCTCACGGACAAGAACTCAGCCCTGAGCACTAAGGAAAACCCCTTGCCACTTAAGGCCAACGCCCGGCTTGTGGTCCCTGGATACCGGGACAGCTCGTACCTAGCCGGCAAGCTCCAGACCGATGCACCAACAGCATCCAGAATAGCATTCTTTATGCTGCTCAGCATCGT